CTAGGTTAAAGACATTATTAGGTAGGGAGTTTAGCTAGGGCGGCACATCTATTAAACTATAACGTAGGTGTCCTAAGGGGGACTTATAGAGAACAGAAATCTCTAGTAGAGTAAAAGGGTAAAAGTCCCCTTAATTTTAATTTTTAGTGTAAATATAAACTATAAAAGTGTAGCCTATTAATCCTTTAGTCCCTTAAAATTTAAGGCTAGAGGTGCTAGAAAAGTTACTACAAGGATAACTAGCTTATAGTAGCTAAGCGTTTATAGCAACGTTGCTTTTTAATCCTTTAATATTAGCTCTTCCTATTATACTAAAGTAGAATTTGGTAAGCGTTAGATTGTTTACCTACTAATAGGGAACGTAAGCTAGGTTTAGACTATTGTAAGATAGGTTAGTTTTACCCTACTAATAACCTTGCCCTAATAGTAATACCGCTTAGTACGAGAGGAACCGCGGTTTTAGATAATTAGTTTTTATAGCTATCTAACTAGGCATTGCCGCAAAGCTACTATCTACTAGATTATAGCTAAACGCCTCTAAGTTAGAATCTATGCTAGAACGGGGTGATTTCTGCCTATACTAGTTAGATACGAATAGGCCTTTAGCCTAGAACCTTACCAGATCGGCGTTAGTAGCCCTATTAAAGTTAGAGTTATTAGCTAGTGTATTACAATTGTATAGTGCGTAGGATTAAATCCTTTACAGACGACTTAGTTGTCTAGCTAGGTTGTGTAAGTAGTTAAGTAGCCTTGTTATTACGAGCTACTAAGCGTAAGCCTGCCGCTAGCTTAGTTAAAATTAGGATATTATACCCTCCTTATTTTTTAAGTTGCTTCCTTTTACAAGGCAAGTAGTAATAAGAGGAAGAGGGTATTTAAAAGAGAAGATTTTCTATAACTCGCCTAAGGCTATCTAGCTATTAAAGGGTAATGTACGCTTAATAGAATAGCCTTAAGTTTTAGCTAAGGTTCCTCTAAAGTTACCTTAGCTACTACTAAAGTCCCTTAACGTTGCCTCCTTAACTCCCTTAAGTTGTCTAGTAATTCTCTTAAGTTCACTAGCTATCCCCTACGTTTAGCTATCCCCTACGTTCCCTAGGTATTGCTTAAGTATAGTACTTGATTATTGTAAGGAATCTACTAAGAATGCGTTCTATAACTTTGGCGCGTTCTATAACTTTAGCGCGTTCTATAACTTTGGCGCGTTCTATAACTTTGGCGCGTTCTATAACTTTGGCGCGTTCTATAACTTTGGCGCGTTCTATAACTTTAGGTGTAAAATCATAACATTATTATTTACGACCTAGGCTTAGGCCCTAAAAATCTAAGAAAAATTAGAGGCCTATAGTACTATTTAGGGCATCTAGCTAGCATTTTTCTAGAATTTTAGGTCTTAATTTAGTAGCGTAAAAAAGAAAAGTTAGTGCACGTTCTATAACTTTTGCACGTTCTATAACTTTTGTACGTTCTATAACTTTTGTACGTTCTATAACTTTTAGTGTAAAATTACCCTATAGTTTTTTCTAACCTACACTTAAGGCCTATACCTACTAAACTTTCCTTTAAGTAATAGTATATTATATAAAGTACTTATACTAAACCTAGTAGGGCTTAGGGTATAAGGTAGTAGTGTATATATTAAAAGTAGTATATTAGTATATATATTCTAACTTTACCCCCTTTATATTTTCTCTATTTATAATTACTTTTATATATATTTACCTATATTATACTATATCTTATCCTAGTTAAAATTACTCTTAGCTTTAGTATTTTACGTACTATTTCTTTTATAAAATATTATAAATTTAGCTAATAGTATATATCTATATATCTATATTATATACTAGTATCTTTAAATATATACTAATATATAATATCCTATATCTATTACCTATTCTTACCCTTTCTATACTAAACTATATATTTAGTTCCTACGCTATACCTTATTTCCCTATTTTTAAAGTACTATATATTATATATATACTACCTAGTATCTATTAAAAATAATCTAGTAAGATTATATAGTATTATAAGCATCTCCTTATAAGGTAAATACGGGTTTATAGTTTATATAAGGCTGCGCATGTCTATATAGTTTCTTATATAAAAAAGCGCACCTCTAAGCTGTTTTCCACCGCACGAACTCCGCGACGCGAAAATTAAAGCAAATAGTGTTCCTATAATATATAAGGAGGGCAAATAGGTTCTTAAATACTAATTGCCTAACTACTTATATAACTTAAATACCTTTAGTAGCTACTATTTGTATACGTAGTTAATTAAGCGTTATTAGATACTAAGGCGGCAAATATTTACTAGTGTCTGCGCTTACACTCCCTACAGCTCCCCTCTATTTTTAGCGCTTTGGCGTCTTTTTTAGTGGCTATCGCCTGTACCTTAGCTTTAGTTATAGTATGTTAAGAGCTATCTAGATCTAACGCTACAGGGCCTTTATAGAAAGCTATTATTACTTAGTCTCGTATTTATAAGCCTTATTTCCTAGATTTTAGTCTAGTTATATTTACTCTAGCTAGAAGGTTATTAGGGGCTTAGCGATTATCTATCCCTTAATTAGGCAGGCTTAGGCCTATATATTAAAGCAATGCCTTAGTGTTGCGCCTAATCTTATTATAGGCACCTAAAGTCCTATAGTTAAATTTTATTAGTAGGTAGTATTTAGGGTCTATAGATAGCTAGCTTTGCTAAACTATTTATTAGATCTTAGGGGATAGCCCTACTAAGCATCTATGCCTTACGTGCGTAGTAGAGCGTAGGTTTTCTCTACTTAAGAGATATATATAGCAAGTTTAATCTAGCGGAAACGTTAGCTAGGCTTCGTTATAGACTATACCTTAAGGAACTTAGTAGGGGCAATTAAATTAGTTATCTATTATAGTGGTGCCTTATACGCTATTATGTAGGCGATTAGAGTTGTTTTTGCAACTTCTTATTATATACTTTCCGCCCCCTTTTAGGGGTATTACTTATACGCTTTAGCGTGTTAGGCAACAGGATTATTACCTAGTTAATTCTGCTAGTAGTTATATACTTATCTTAAAGATTAAGCTATATATATCTAAGTATAAGTAATTATACCGTGAAACTACAAATAGCTTATTAAATTAGTTATCGTTTATTTAATAGTACCTTACTACTTAGATAACTGTAGTAATTCTAGAGCTAATACATGCTAAAAACCCTAACTTTAGAAGGGGTGTATTTATTAGATAAAAAACTAACGCCCTTTAGGGCTTCTTAGTGATTTATAATAACTTTACAGATCGCATAGCCTTACGCTAGCAATAGTTTATTTAAATTTCTGCCCTATTAACTTTTAATAGTAAGGTATTAGCTTACTATAGTTTTAATAGGTAACAGGGAATTAGGGTTTAATTCTAGAGAGGGAGCCTAAGAAACAGCTACCATATCTAAGGAAGGTAGTAGGCGCGTAAATTACCTAATCCTAACATAGGGAGGTAGTAATAATAAATACTAATATAGGGCTCTTTTAGGTCTTATAATTAGAATAAGTACAATTTAAACCTCTTAATAAGGAATAATTAGAGGGCAAGTCTAGTGCTAGCAGCTATAGTAATTCTAGCTCTAATAGCGTATATTAAAGTTGTTGCAGTTAAAAAGCTTATAGTTAAAACTTAGGTCTAGCTAGTAGGTCCGCCTTACCGTGTGTACTTGTCTAGCTAGGCCTTCCTTCTAGAGAACCTTATGCCCTTTACTAGGCGTGTTAGGGACTAGGACTTTTACTTTAAAAAAATTAGAGTGTTTAAAGTAGGCCTTTACTTAAATACGTTAGCATAGAATAATAGAATAGGACGTGTAGTCCTATTTTATTAGTTTCTAGGACTACTATAATAATTAATAGGGATAGTTAGGGGTATTAGTATTTAATTATTAGAGGTGAAATTCTTAGATTTATTAAAGACTAACTACTACAAAAGCATTTGCTAAGGATGTTTTTATTAATTAGTAAACGAAAGTTAGGGGATTAAAGACAATTAGATACTGTCGTAGTCTTAACTATAAACTATGCTAACTAGGGATTAGGCGATATTCTTTTTCTAACTCGCTCAGCACCTTATAAGAAATTAAAGTTTTTAGGTTCTAGGGGGAGTATAGTCGTAAGGCTAAAACTTAAAGAAATTAATAGAAGGGCACTACTAGGCGTAGAGCCTATAGCTTAATTTAACTTAATATAGGGAAACTTACTAGGTCTAGATAAAATAAGGATTAATAGATTAAGAGCTCTTTCTTAATTTTTTAGGTAGTGGTGCATAGCCGTTCTTAGTTAGTAGAGTAATTTGTCTGCTTAATTACAATAATAAACAAGACCTTAACCTGCTAAATAGCTAGGCTAGCTTTAGCTAGTTGCTAGCTTCTTAGAGGGACTATTAGCTTAAGCTAATAGAAGTTTAAGGTAATAATAGGTCTATAATGCCCTTAGATATTCTAGGCTACACGCGCGCTACACTAACAGAGCTAACAAGTTCTTTACTTTAACTAAAAGGTCTAGGTAATCTTGTTAAACTCTATCGTGCTAAGGATAGAGCATTATAATTATTACTCTTTAACGAGGAATACCTAGTAAGCGCGTGTTATTAGCATACGTTAATTACGTCCCTGCCCTTTATACACACCGCCTGTTGCTACTACTAATTAAATAGCTTAGTAAGGCCTTTAGACTAGCTTAAGGAGGTTAGCAACAACCACCTTAAGCTAGAAAGTTTGTTAAACTTAGTTATTTAGAGGAAGTAAAAGTTATAACAAGGTTTCTATAGGTAAACCTACAGAAGGATTATTACCCTTCTATTAGAGGATTAGTGTTAGGATTTTAGCCTTTAGCTTACTTTCTAGCCCTTTCCTTTCTAATTCTACCTATGTTTTTTGCGTACTATTTATTTCCTTAGTAGGCTTGCCTACTAAAAGGACAATTTAAACTACTTATAATTGTAGTTAGCGTTAGTAATAATATAATAATTACAACTTTTAACAACAGATCTCTTAGTTCTAGCATTAATAAAGAACGTAGCAAAATGTGATAAGTAGTGTAAATTACAGAATTTAGTGAATTATTAAATCTTTAAACGCACATTGCGCCCCTTAGTATTCTATAGGGCATGCCTATTTAAGCGTTATTTATACCCTTAAGCTTTACTTAGTATTAGGTGAATGTTCTCTATGCTTGCGTAGACTAGACTTGCCTAAAAATAATTAGTAGCTAGCATATTAGCCTAGAGCGCAGCATATTTTACGCCTCTTGCTATAATTATTAGCATCTATTAAGATATTTTATTAACTCTTAACCTTAGATTAGGTAGGGATACCTGCTAAACTTAAGCATATTAATAAGTGGAGGAAAAGAAACTAATAGGGATTGCCCTAGTAACAGCGAGTAAAGCGGTAATAGCTTAAATTTAAAATCTAGCTCTTTTAGGGTCTAAGTTGTAATTTGCAGAGGGCGCTTTAGCGTTAGTAGCGGTCTAAGTTCCTTGGAACAGGACGTTATAGAGGGTAAGAATCCTATATATAGTTGCTAGTCTTCGCTATATAAAGCCCCTTTAATAAGTTAAGTTATTTAGGAATACAGCTCTAAATAGGAGGTAAATTTCTTCTAAAGCTAAATACTAGCTAGAGACTAATAGCGTATAAGTAGAGTGATTAAAAGATAAAAAGCACTTTAGAAAGAGAGTTAAATAGCACGTGAAATTGTTAAAAGGGAAGCGCTTACAGCTAGACTTACCTATAGTTACTTATCTAGGCTTTTACCTAGTGCACTCTTCTATAGGCAGGCTAGTATTAGTTTAGGTAGTTAGATAAAGGTCTCTATTACGTACCTCTCTTTAGGGAGGCCTTATAGGGGAGACGATATGTAACTAGCCTAGACTAAGGTCTGCGTATTTACTAGGATGCTAGCGTAATAGCTGTAAGCGGCCCGTCTTAAAACATAGACTAAGGAGTCTAACATCTATATAAGTGTTTAGGTGTTAAGCCTAAACGCGTAATAAAAGTAAATAGAGGTAGGAACCCTTTAGGGCGCACTATTAACTAATCCTAATATCTTTAGAAGGATTTAAGTAAGAGCATAGCTATTAGGACTTAAAAGATGGTAAACTATACTTAAATAGGGTAAAGCTAGAGGAAACTCTAGTAGAGGCTTGCAGCAGTTCTAACGTGCAAATTAATTATTAAATTTAGGTATAGGGGCGAAAGACTAATTAAACTATCTAGTAGCTAGTTTCTGCTGAAGTTTCCCTTAGGATAGCAGTAACGTATTTAGTTTTATAAGGTAAAGCGAATAATTAGAGGCCTAGGGGTTAAAATAACCTTTACCTATTCTTAAACTTTAAATATATAAGAAGTCCTTGTTACTTAATTAAACGTAGACACTTAAATGTACTGTTACTAGTAGGCTATTTTTAGTAAGCAGAACTAGCAATATAGGATAAACTAAACGCGGGGTTAAGGTGCTAGAATGTACGCTTATTAGACACTATAAAAGGTGTTAGTTTATCTAGATAGCAGGACGGTAGCTATAGAAGTTAGAATCCGCTAAGGAGTGTGTAACAACTTACCTACTAAATAAACTAGCCCTAAAAATAGATGGCGCTTAAGCGTGTTACCTATACCCCGCCGCTAGGGCAAGATTTAAGCCCTAGCGAGTAGGTAGGCGTAGAGGCTTGTAACGAAGCCTTAGGGGTAACCTTAGGTAGAACGGCCTCTAGTATAGATCTTAGTAGTAGTAGCAAATACTTAAATAAGAACTTTAAGGACTAAAGTAGGGAAAGGTTCTGTGTAAACAGTAGTTAGACACGGGTTAGTTAATCCTAAGAGATAGGGTAATTCTGTTTTAATATTAGCGCTTACGCTACGCCCTTAAAAGGGAAGCTAGTTAATATTCTAGCACCTAGATATAGATTCTCTATAGTAACGTAACTAAGAGCGGAGACCTTAGCGGGAGCCCTAAGAAGAGTTCTCTTTTCTTCTTAATAGTCTATTACCCTAAAATTAGTTTGTCTAGAGCTAGGGTTTAATAGCTAGAAGAGTGCTACACTTTTGCGGCGTTTAGTGCGCTCCTAACAAGCCTTAAAAATCTACTTAAAGAAATAGTTTTTACGCTAGGTTATACTTATAACTATAGTAGGTCTCTAAGGTAAAAAGCCTCTAGTTAATAGAATAATATAGATAAGGGAAGTTAGTAAAATAGATCTATAACTTTAGGAAAAGGATTAGCTCTAAGGGTTAGGTACGTTAGGCCTTAGGGAAAAGCCTCTAGCGTAGAAGGGCACTAGCTGTAAGGTAGGCGCCTTTTAGCGCTAGGGTGCGGACACCCTTAGCAGGCTTTAGCTGTCTAGCGTACGTTTAACAACTAACTTAGAACTAGTATAGATAAGGGGAATCTAACTATCTAATTAAAATATAGTATTGCAATAGCTAGAAAGTAGTGTTAACGTAATGTGATTTCTACCTAGTGCTCTAAATGTTAAAGCGAAGAGATTTAACTAAGCGTAGGTAAACGGCGGGAGTAACTATAACTCTCTTAAGGTAGCTAAATACCTTATTATCTAATTAGTAACGCGTATAAATAGATTAACAAGATTCCTACTATCCCTATCTACTATCTAGCGAAACTATAGCTAAGAGAACGGGCTTAGCTAAATTAGCAGGGAAAGAAGACCCTATTAAGCTTAACTCTAGTTTAATATTATAAAAAGATATAGGGGGTGTAGAATAGGTAGGAGCTTTAGCGCTAGTAAAATACTACTACCCTTATCGTTTTTTTACTTATTTAATAAAGCGGAGCTAGGCCTTACTACCTAACTTCTAGCGTTTAAGGTCCTTTATAGGCTGATCTAGGTTAAAGACATTGTTAGGTAGGGAGTTTAGCTAGGGCGGCACATCTATTAAACTATAACGTAGGTGTCCTAAGGGGGACTTATAGAGAATAGAAATCTCTAGTAGAGTAAAAGGGTAAAAGTCCCCTTAATTTTAATTTTTAGTGTAAATACAAACTATAAAAGTGTGGCCTATTAATCCTTTAGTCCCTTAAAATTTAAGGCTAGAGGTGCTAGAAAAGTTACTATAGGGATAACTAGCTTGTGGCAGCTAAGCGTTTATAGCGACGTTGCTTTTTAATCCTTTAATGTTAGCTCTTCCTATTATACCAAAGTAGAATTTAGTAAGTATTAGATTGTTCACCTACTAATAGGGAACGTAAGCTAGGTTTAGACTATTATAAGACAGGTTAGTTTTACCCTACTAATAACCTTACCCTAATAGTAATACCGCTTAGTACGAGAGGAACCGCGGTTTTAGATAATTAGTTTTTACAGCTGTCTAACTAGGCATTGCTGCGAAGCTACTATCTACTAGATTATAGCTAAACGCCTCTAAGTTAGAATCTATGCTAGAACGGGGTGATTTCCGCCTGCACTAGTTAGATACGAATAGGCCTTTAGCCTAGAACCTTACTAGATCGGCGTTAGTAGCCCTATTAAAGTTAGAGTTGCTAGCTAGTATATTATAATTATATAGTGCGTAGGATTAAATCCTTTATAGATAACTTAGTTATCTAGCTAGGTCGTGTAAGTAGTTAAGTAGCCTTGTTGTTACAAGCTACTAAGCGTAAGCCCGCCGCTAGCTTAGTTAAAATTAGGATATTATACCCTCCTTATTTTTTAAGTTGCTTCCTTTTACAAGGTAAGTAGTAATAAGAGGAAGAGGGTATTTAAAAGAGAAGATTTTCTATAACTCGCCTAAGGCTGTCTAGCTATTAAAGGGTAATGTACGCTTAATAGAATAGCCTTAAGTTTTAGCTAAGGTTCCTTTAAAGTTGCCTTAGCCACCGCTAAAGTCCCTTAACGTTGCCTCCTTAACTCCCTTAAGTTGTCTAGTAATTCTCTTAAGTTTACTAGCTATCCCCTACGTTTAGCTATCCCCTACATTCCCTAGGTATTGCTTAAGTATAGTACTTAATTATTATAAGGAATCTACTAAGAATGCGTTCTATAACTTTGGCGTGTTCTATAACTTTGGCGCGTTCTATAACTTTGGCGCGTTCTATAACTTTGGCGCGTTCTATAACTTTGGCGCGTTCTATAACTTTGGCGCGTTCTATAACTTTAGGTGTAAAATCATAACATTATTATTTACGACCTAGGCTTAGGCCCTAAAAATCTAAGAAAAATTAGAGGCCTATAGTACTATTTAGGGCATCTAGCTAGCATTTTTCTAGAATTTTAGGTCTTAATTTAGTAGCGTAAAAAAGAAAAGTTAGTGCACGTTCTATAACTTTTGCACGTTCTATAACTTTTGTACGTTCTATAACTTTTGTACGTTCTATAACTTTTAGTGTAAAATTACCCTATAGTTTTTTCTAACCTACACTTAAGGCCTATACCTACTAAACTTTCCTTTAAGTAATAGTATATTATATAAAGTACTTATACTAAACCTAGTAGGGCTTAGGGTATAAGGTAGTAGTGTATATATTAAAAGTAGTATATTAGTATATATATTCTAACTTTACCCCCTTTATATTTTCTCTATTTATAATTACTTTTATATATATTTACCTGTATTATACTATATCTTATCCTAGTTAAAATTACTCTTAGCTTTAGTATTTTACGTACTATTTGTAACGAAGGTTCGTTACATCCTAAGCTATTTAGAGCTAGAGTCACGTCCTCACTAACTTAGCTCCGATCTGTATCTAATACCCCTCTACCTCCACATATAAAAGGAGCCTTATGCTCTTAGATAGATAGACAAGTTCTTCTTGTCCTTTCGTACAAGACCTATAGGTGTAGGAATCAATTCGTTTAACCTTCAATACAGGCGCGCACTCCTATATGCCTTTAAGCCGTATTGGAACCCTTTTAGATCCTCCTACTTACCTGCGTTGTTACATTACAAGAAGAACTTCGTCCCTGCTAGTAACGGCTTCTTAAGAATATTGTATTGTTGTATTGTATTTATATCACAACCAATTCACTTTAGGTTGTAATCCAATCGTATATCCACAGTTGGAACTCCATTAGAACTTCTAACGACCAAAGCCTATAGGTTTGGAACTTCCACACGACTAGGTTGTGATTTGGATTGCCTTTAGAAAAGTCGCGTTAGATTGCGCTAGGGTAGAAACTTGGAGACTACTAATAACCTAGGAGAATCAGAGGCAAAGCTAATATCTTTATCCAAAACCCCCCCGGTTAGGAGCGTAACCACCCGCTTAACTGCCAAAGCAACGGTCTCGAAGGACTAGACAAAAGCTCCCTCTCCTAAACTTGTTAAAGAATTAGAAGAGGAGGAAGCATTTAACCTAGTAGGAGATTAGAGCGAAACTGGAGCCGCCCTAGATATAAGAACGCTTATGCAAGAAATATTGTTTCTGCGTAAACAGCTTACACAGGTACAAGCAGGCTTAGTAGCCCCTAATTAGCCCCTACCATCCACTAAAAAGACGCCGATCGGACCTTTTAGAGAGCCCTTGGTTACTCCCTTCCTATACGCCTAACTAGCTAGACGATTAGAAAGGACCCCTAATATTAAGGTTCTGTCTAATGGGGTTGATCCTACCTTTAAACAATGGCAAGCTTCTATTCAGGATCGACTTAAAATTAACTTGGATTATTATTAGAATAAACGAGCTCGCATGGCTTTGGTATAGGGACACAGCACTAGTTTAGCAAAGGAATACTTAGAACCCTAATACCTATCCAACAACCTTACGGATCGATTCGCTGACGCTAAGGAAATGATTAACCTTCTTAAATCCTATTTCATTACTAGAAATGAGAAGGTAGAAAGTAGAGCAGTGTTCAATTAATTGCAGATAGATAGGAACGAAACCTTCCCAGCCTTTAAAGCTCGGTTCTTAAGCTCGGCTGTGAAGGGACAAGTACCCTGTTCGGAGTGGTTTCACTACCTCTAGTTAAAAGTAACGCCCGCTATTCAAGTTCCTAACTTAGGTTTTAGACACCTCTAGGGGAACTCATTTAAAAGGATGGTTAAGCACCTTACTGCCTTTAATATAGAGCGGAGAAACTATCTAAATTAGTCTAGTGCACCTACTAAGGGACTAACCAGTAACCATAGAAAAGGCCCAAACCCTACGGCACAACACTAATCAGAACTAAATTGGAAAACATACAGTGTAGCAAACACCTCAACACGACCCTATGCGTCTTAAGGCCACTAACGTAGCACTACTCCGCAACCCCACTAACAGCCTTCCTTAACCCCTGCTCCTAACAGATCTAAGACCCTAAGTAGTTGCTACAATTACGGTGAAGTAGGACACTTCGCTAATAACTACCCTAAGCCAAGGATCCGTGCTATAGAATTGGTTGAAGATGTAGAGGAGTACCAAGACGCGTCGGAGACTTTCGATTCGGAACCGTATCGGACGGGAAAAGACCCCGCCTAGGAGGACTCTCCTTCCCAGGCTTAACCCGTTACGATCTTTCTAACCTTTCCTTATCCAAATTGTTTACAGGTTCTTATTTCCTTACACGTACTACCCTGTGCCGTAACGGCTCTAGGGTTCAATTGAACTCCTTAGTCGATACTGGTGCACAGGGCTTTCTTTTCTTAAATTCTAAAATTACTTATTCTATTTCTTCTTCCCTTTAGGTACCTATCTAAAAGTTACCCTACAAGCTTACTGTCAAAGGATTTCAAGATTAAATTACTTCCCCTACAGCATATTACATTCGCCTCTACATGATAGTTAGCGGACGTAAGGTCTATAACTATCCTTTTATTATCATGGACCTAGGATCCTAGGATTGTATTATTAGACTATATTAGTTAAAACGTTTCTAGATCCTAGTTAATACGGATTGATCTTGGTTAGTGTGGCCTGCCAAATATCCCCTAACCTATAATCCATTACCTCCCCTGCTTATAAGGCTATATTAACAAGTACCCTCTTCCCTAGTAGAACGTGATGTCTAGCGACAAGACGCCTTATGGGATTAGGAAGAGATCTAAAACGCTAATAGTTCTAGTGCGATTAACAGGATACAAGGAATCCTTAAGGTGCCGGCAGCACGTCGAGCAGTCACATTCGCCGTGCCGGCTCCTGTCCAAACTACCTCCGTTCCCGCCTCGACTCCCGTTGCTAGGATAGCCCTTATTTTAGCAAATGCTTTCCACTTTAATCTAAAGAAACCTACAAACGAATTCTTTACTACAAGCTTGTATGAAATAGAGCGCCGCCTAGAAGATCTAGAGGAGGATAACTACGACAACTTAGAGCTAATATAGAGCTAACTCCCTACCAAGTATAGGGCCTACCGCGATGTGTTTAGTAAAGTAGCTACCAACCGCCTACTAGAGCACCAACCCTACGATCACAAGATTATCCTAGAGGAACCCCTACCAAACTCCTACAGCCCTCTATATAAGCAAAACTTAGAGGAACTACAAGCTACTAAGGAGTATGTACAGGAGCACCTACAGAAGGGATTTATCGAGTTAAGTTAGAGCCCTTTCGCATCGCCCATCCTCTGCGTTCGAAAACCAAATGGTACCATTAGGATTTGTGTGGATTATTGTAAGCTTAACAACCTAACCTGAAAGGACGCCTACCTAATACCCCGTATTAACGAGTTGCTGTCGCGCCCTGCAAAGGCTAAGATATTTACCAAGCTTGATATTCAATTAGCTTTTAACAAGATCTAGATAGACCCCGCCTCTAAGGAGTATACCACGTTTTGGACCCGTTACGGAACCTATAAGTGCAAGGTGTTACCCTTTGGACTATGCAATAGACCCGCTACCTACTAGCGATACATAAACGACGTGTTAATCAATTACTTAGATGATTTCTATGTCGCCTATTTGGACGATATCCTAATCTACTCCAATAGTGAGGCGACCTATTAAGAACACGTACGTAAGGTTCTTAAACGCCTTCGATCAGCTAGCCTATAGGCTAACATCAAGAAAAGCAAATTCCATGTAAAGCGTACTAGGTATTTAGGCTACATCCTAACTGACCACGGCTTAGAGGTAGATCCTAAGAAAGTGGCCGTACTCCGGAACTAGTCCAAACCTAAGACGATTACAGGTGTGAAGTCATTTCTCGGTTTCACAGGATTCTATCGTCAATTTGTTCCTGAATTTTCCTAGGTGGCAAAGCCCCTCGCCGCGTTACAGAGCCCTACCACCCCTTTCGTATAGACTTTAGATTGCCAACTAGCGTTTAATAAGCTAAGATCTGCCTTGCTACAGATACCCTCCTTATCCCACTTCTACTCCAAATACCCTACAAAGCTAGAGACAGACGCCTCCAATAGAGTTATCGCTAGAGTCCTGTTACAAGAGCACCCTAATAGAAAGTGGTACCCCGTCACCTTCTATAGTCAGGCCCTATCCAGATCCAAACTTAATTAGGAGATACACGACAAGGAACTATACGCTATCATTAGAGCCTTTAAGAAGTAGCGAGCCAATCTAACCTCAACTCCCCACCAAATCAAGGTATACACTAATCACCATTCCTTAGAGTACTTCATGTCTACCAAGGTGCTTAACGCAAGGCAAGCACGCTGGGCAGAGACCATAGCTCAGTTCAACTTCCAAATCGAGTACACCCCAGGCCTAAGCAACGCCAGGGCTGATATCCTCAGCCGCAGGGAACAGGACGTCAAGAATTTAAAGAATCTCCAAACCGATAACAGGTCACAGGTATTAATTGGTCCTAAGAACCTCCATAACCAAATCAACTCCAAACTAGCTATAAACTACATCCGCTAGCAAGCATCAACTCGTATATCTATTCTTCTACCCGACCAGGACGTCATGAATCTTGGATCCTTAGAGCTAGTTAAAGCGCTGTTAAAAGAAAACAGGAATTCCTTCAACAAGGAACGACGGCACTTACCCCAGCACTATCAGATCAATAACAGACTCCTCCTGTACCAGGATCGTCTATGTGTACCTAAAGGCTCTACCTTGTACACGCGACTCATCCAAGAAGCCCACGACTAGGTCTCCTCTGCACACCCCTCCGCAACCAAGACGTATCAGCTCCTTGCCCGCCAATACCATTGGAAAGGTATAGAGGCTACTTGTAAACGTTATGTGCAGAACTATATCCCCTACTGCAGAGGCCATCCAAGATAGCACTAACTCCCTAGCATGTTGCATCCCCTACTAATTCTAGACCAACCCATGCAACATCTATGTATTAACTTCAAGGATTTTCCCCAGGACCGTTTCAGATACAATTAGGTGATGGTTGTTATTAACAGATTGTCTAAGCAAGCTGTAACAATCCCTTATTATAAAACCATCAACGCCTAAGGCATAGCTACCCTATTCATCTAATAGATATACCGTTTTGGCCATACTCCTAATAGCATAGTTTCTAATCATGGCCCTTAGTTTATATCCAGTTTCTAGTCCAAATTCTATCAGATTATAGGTAGCAAGGTCAAGCTTTCTACTACCTACCACAAACAAACCAATAGCTAAACAGAAATTATGAACAAGTATATTAACCAGAGGCTAAGGCCTTTCGTAACGTACTATTAGGACAACTAGAGCGAACTGTTACCTATGATCAATCAAGCCTAGGCTACCCTTCCTCATGCCGCCATTGGAATGGCCCCGTACCAGCTCCTGTTCGGTTCCGAACCTAGGCAGAGTTAGAACTAGAAACCCGCTAAACCTCCTTCCACTAACCTTAAAAAGATCAACCACAAGGACGCCCTTACCCTTGCTACCCGCATGCACGACGCGTAGAAACAAGCCAAGGAGAATATAGAAAAGGCTTAGGACTAGATACGATCCGCTATTAATCGCCACCGTCGCTCTATAGACTAGACTGTTAGTGACCAAGTTTACTTATCTACCGCAAATCTTGCCAGCCTAAGACCAAGCCAAAAGCTATCTAAACTCTAGGAAGGTCCCTACGAGGTATTAGAACAAGTAGGACACGCCTACCGCCTTAAGCTACCCCCAGGATCCCAGATACACGATGTCTTCTCGCTAGATGTCCTTTGCAAGGATCCTAGGGATCCCCTACTAGGACAAGAGGCTCCGAAACCACCTAGTATCCCCATCTAAGGCGTGGAAGAGTGGGAGGTTAAGGAAATCCTAGCTAGCAAACTATATCGCTCTACTCTTAAGTACAGAGTCAAGTGGCTAGGACACAATCTAGATCCTACCTAGTACCCTGCCTCTAACTTCATAGGAGCCCCCTATAAGTTAAAAGCGTACCACAATAAGTATCCAAATCAGCCAGGACCCCCGCGATCTTTAGCCAAGTAGCTCACAGCATAGGAAAAAGGCGTAGAGGACTTAATATCACTGCAGGACAATAAGGCGTAGTTACAGACCTGTTTATTGCGCTAACCTAATATACAAGACTTATACGGAACTAACATCTACTATTAAGACCCTCCCCAAGGCCTAGCAGAACTGCTGGTTAGAATACCACAGGAGTATCAAAGCCCTTTCAGACCTACTCCTCCATAGCATCCTCCAGATTCACCTCTAAATTAGAGGGATCCGGAACCGCACCAGAAAGACCACCATCCGGCAACAATGGTGCTAGCTCCATCTTCCTCAAGAACCTACCGTGAGGCCCACAAGGGGGGGCATTAGCTTTGCCTCTACCCCTAGCCGTGCCCTTGTCCGGTCCCTTCAGACCAGGTTCGGACGCGCTTAAGGACATGGCGGTTCGCTACGCCTCTATCTCCCCCCGCAACGCCCAAACCTCGTCCTTAAGGAGCTGGACCTCCTCCCTTAGGGCCCGATTAGCCTCTAACACGGCGTAGTGGTTCGCCAGGAGGAGCTTAGCGGACTCAGTGCCCTAGGTCTAGGTAGTTGCCACCTGCACACAGACCAACAGAACTGTCGCTGCCTCCTTAACCTCCTTCTAGAGGGTGTCCTTGTCAGCCTCCTAGGCCGCCCGCTCCTCCTCCGCCACAGGAGCCTCCCTCTCCTCCCTCTCTACCGCCTTTATCCTCTCTAGGCCGGTGTTTAACCTCGCAAATTCCAGTCCCACATACTAGGGCACCTAGGTTTATTAGTAACAGTTAATACAGAGCCTATTAGGATACTTACCAGCTTACACTTTCTAGCTTAAAGTGTGCAATATGCACACTTCTTTAAGCCCGCTAACTCAAACCAGAACTTGACAAATTGGCCCTAGGCCAGCGCCCGTACCGCCCGCAAACAAATGCCACGATAGGCCTTAGGTAAAGCCCTAGGGGGCACAGGAATAGGCATCGTAGGTATAGCTGTAAAATCGTTAGCAATTAGGCTCAAAAAAGGACTACTATCAGAGCAATAACAGAGGACTTACTAATAGAGATGGGGTGCGTAGAGAGCAGGAGGAAAAGCGAGGTTTTGCGTTAATATATACCCGGCCGCAAGCGCGCCTACCAAATTAAGCGTCACCATAGCAATATCAAACAAACAGCAAACGCAAAAGCCGCCTTCACCTCCACTTCGATGGGAGATTCGGTTTAGATAGGATTCGGAAGCGTTCTAGATAGCGACAAGACAGGTAAAGGAGGATTCTATGGAAGAAAGCAGAAAAATAAAGGTTAAACTAATTCAACTCCAAATCAACACCTACCAAAGATAGGGACTATCTTTCTTAAGGAGGGGGGTAATGTAACGAAGGTTCGTTACATCCTAAGCTATTCAGAGCTAGAGTCACGTCCTCACCGACTTGGCTCCAATCTGTATCCAATACCCCTCTGCCTCTACATATAAAAGGAGCCTTATGCTCTTAGATAGATAGACAAGTTCTTCTTGTCCTTTCGTACAAGACCTATAGGTGTAGGAATCAATTCGTTCAACCTTCGATACAGGCGCGCACTCCTATATGCCTTTAAGCCGTATTAGAACCCTTTTGGATCCTCCTACTTACCTACGTCGTTACACTATTTCTTTTATAAAATATTATAAATTTAGCTAA